ATCGGAGCCGCTGACGGTGGCGTGGCCGCGGCTGGCAATGCCGGCGTCCCGGGCGGAAACGTCAGCCCTCTGGAAGCCGGCGGTAATCCACTGATTGGGAGCACCTTTGGGGCTAGTAACCCCTTGGGGGCTGGTAACCCCTTGGGGGCTGGTAACCCCTTTGGGGTGGGTAACCCCTTTGGGCCTGGTAACCCCTTTGGGCCTGGTAACCCCTTTGGGCCTGGCAACCCCTTTGAGGCTGGTAACCCCTTTGCTGCAGGCGGTTCCCAATTCAACCCGTTGGCTGCTCTCTTTGGAGCGGGTGTCGGCGTTGGCACGGAAGGCAGTTCCGGGCGCCGGGAAATGACTGATGCGGAGGCGCGACTGGCGTACAGCTCCCAAGTGGCGACCCTGCAGCAAATGGGTTTCGAAGACCTCGACAAAGTCGTCAAAGCTCTCAAAGACGCTCTCGGGAATATTAACCGAGCCCTGGACCTTCTCGTACGAGATCTGTGACGAACGGGTTCGCCGAGCAAACCAAGAGGTGAACCCCAAGGAAACTCCAAAAGGGCTTAAAGGGACTCCCCAGGGCAACAAGACAAGAACCTCAAAACAATCCAGAGGGCTCCTAAGGACTTCCCTTTCTGTCTGGGCTCTCTGTCTGGACCTTTCTGTCTGGGGTGTCTTAAGAAGGGATTGGAGAGTGTCCAGAGTCTGGTCCAGTAGTGCCTTCCCCGATGGGTACTTTCTTCTATCGGCCATTCCCATATAGGTATCCTGGAAGAATATCCTGTGAGGGTGTTTTTTAGGGTTTGTTGAGTGTTGGCAAAACTGTCTATTAGTTATGGCTGGTCGTTGAGGCTATCGGGCCGGTCGGTATTGGCAAAAAAAATGGAGGCGGAAGTGTGTGGCAAGTTGCGACCGGGTGTGTACGTGTCGAGTCTTGCATTCTTCAGGTCGGATGAGTCGGTAAACGAGGATGCGGTGGTACGGCATATGGGTTCTTTGGCGGAGTCAGGTGTGGCAGGCGTGGTGGTTCAGGACGTGTTCGGGGAGGCGATGCATCTCGACCGGTCGGAGCGGAACTCTGTGACTGCCGCCGCCCGACAGGGGATGTCTGCCTACCCGCACGTGTCGCTGCTCGTGGGCTGCAGCGCCGCGTCGACCCGGGCGACTGTGCAACTCTGCCAGGACGCAGCCGAACACGGCGCAGACTTCGCCGTGGTCCAGGCACCGCGACTCTACCGCCTCTCGTCCAAGGCCGTGCTCGATCACTACCGTGCCGTCGCCGATGCGTCGCCTGTTCCACTGCTGATCAAGGACTGTGGCGGCCCCGAAGGTAGCCTGGAGGGCGGGTTCGAAGGGAGCCTCGCGGGTGGCCTGGAAGGCAGCATCCCCAAAGGTAGCCTGGAGGATAGCTTGGAAGGCGGCTTTGAAGGGAGTCTGGAAGGCAGCCCGGGGCAAAAGACGGCCGGACCGCGCAGCGGGGAAACCGCTTTGACGTGTGAGGAGATCCTGGCGCTGGCGCGACACGGGAACGTGGCGGGCGTGCAGTTGAGTGCGACCATGCCGGGCCGCATCGCGGAGCTCGTTTCGAAGTGCCCGCCATGGTTCGTGGTGTTGGGCAACGAGACACGACGCACACTGCACACACTCGTGGCCGGTGGACACGGCATCGTCTCCGGTTTCGCCAACTTGTTCCCGTATCTTTGTGTGCGTCTAGCGCAACTTTGCAACGCTGGCGAACTCGCCCAAGCACTAAGTCTACTCGACACACTCGCCGCTGCCGACGACGTGCTTCACACACACGGATTCACCGCCTTCAAAAGCGCACTCCAAACATACCACCACTATGGAGGCTGCCCCCGCCTACCCTGCCAACAGCCCACCCACCAAGATGCCTGCGACATCGCTGAAAAACTCCGCCCCTGCGTCCAACTCGATATCGACATCCAACACGCCCTGAACAAGCACCACACTTGATGCGTTGACAAGGTTACAACCTTTTTCAGAACAACTGTGCCACAACTTTACCATCATTTCAGTTCCAATATCTACATAAAGAGAACACAAAGCAAACTATATCACCTCCCCACTAAAAGACAAACCCCATTTAAAGGAACAGGCTTAATGTGTCAAGCTCAACAAAAAGACTCTACTTCTTAGCGGCGGTCTTCTTGGTGGCGTAGTCCTTCTTTTCAACCTTTTTGACGACACCAACAGCGACAGTGGATCTCATGTCACGGACGGCGAAACGACCAAGGGGAGGGTACTCCAAGAAAGCTTCACAGCACATCGGCTTGGTGGGCACAAGTCTGACGATGGCTGAGTCACCGTTCTTCACAACAGTGGGGGCATCATCAGTGACCTTGTTGGTTCTCTTGTCCATCTTAGCCATCAACTTCTCGAACTTGCAAGCGATGTGGGCAGTATGGCAATCCAACACGGGAGTGTATCCCGCCTTGATCTCACCAGGGTGGTTCATAATGATAACCTGAGCCTCGAAAGCACCAGCGGGCTTAGCGGGGTCGTTCTTAGCATCAGAAGCGA